CTTGACAATACCAAACATTCAACCAATATCAACCAATTATAACTTCACAAACAGATATAACTCAACAACCAAAACAACTAATTACAACCAATTAACCCTGATCAATTAAGATCACCACAATTATATTCAACCAACTTCAACAAACCAACAAACTTCCTTCAAAACAACAAATTCTCTTCTCAACAAAACAATACACCGCTACACACTATCAGCGTGTCTCTCCTAACTGATGTAAAATATCTCTCAAACCTACGGAAGCCCATTAGTGCCGTTTTGTCTTAGGAGTTTTTTCTTATGACTGATGACTTATGTATTATGACTTCTGTCTTATGCCTTATGACTTATGTCAGATATAAACTTAAAAAGGCGGCAAATAGGCGGGGTAAAACAGAAGGGGTAAAAAAGTGAGAAAAGAAGACTTCTTTGGTAAGTGTTGAATTGTGAACAGTTTTCATAATTATATTGTTTATGAAATGACAACTACTATACAGGCTTGAAAAAGAATGTTTTAACCAGACGCCTGATTTTGTAAACTTTGTAAACGTAACTCCTCCTCGCATCTGTTTCATGTTTTCCAAAACTTTCTGACATAATTGTATGCATAACTTGGAACTTTGATTCCATTGATGCCTTTATAGAGTTATGCCGCTATAACTCTTTTCAAAGCATTAAGTAATTTTAAGTGTTCAGGGCCTGTTTTTGGTGCTCTTGTTCTTTAAACAGACATTTTATTACTTATATCCTGTCCGCATAGCTTGAAGATATTAGTACTGGTACAGAATCCAGGGACACTAGTTATATGACTGAAATACTGTGCAATTGCCCTAAACTACAACAAAACAAAACAAAATCCTAATTTCCTAGCTGAATATTTCTATTAGAGTCATAATTAAATACTTCGGTTTAGTTACATTTTAATTAAGATACAACCTAATTGGCTTCTTCGTAGCAACAAGATAGCTCTATATTCTACCATCACAACAAAGTAGCCGATTTTCACACCGTACAATCGAATGGGCAGACAGCAGTTCAATCGTCGACAGCTGTACCAGTACATACATGTCAGCGCACGAAACACAATTGATGGACGGTAAGTATTCATCTATTTTTAACATATCCCAACTGTATTCGAGAAAATCAATGTTATGGATTCATAGTCAACATCCAAAGGAGCATACTAACAAATTTCTGGCCCTGTGCAAGCTTTATTTCACAGGAATTTTGACTGAAAATAACCACACAGTTGGGATATGCTAAAAATAGATGAATACTTACCGTCCGTCAATTTTGTTTCGTGCGCCGACATGATTGTATATACTGGTACATTATACAGCATTTTAATACATTGCATATTATATGAATATTGTTTTTGTCTGTCATCTTATTAATTATATTTAATAGTTTAATAGCTATGTACTTTGTTTTTCAGATATCTTTAAAGAATATGTTGGCGTTTTATAGCACGTGGCTTTGTCTGGGATACAACATGTTGAGCTTGCTTTAGAAGTGACACCTTCTAACATACCTGAAACATTGACAGCGCTGCTGGAAGTACACAAATTGTATTCGTGAAACAATACTTTACTGTACTGTTGGGTTACATATCCTGAAATTGTTCTTCTGTTGTTCGTTATAAATAACATTAAAATATCGCTTCGACAGCTTAAAAGAGTAACCAAATGTATCGACGTATGACGTCAAACTGGATACACACCATATTACAATTTTGTTCTTTGATTATATTCTCAATGGAATTGTGACAAGCGATCAATGCATTGGCTATCGTTCAGTGATAAATGAACATAGGTTCAGAGTTCAATCTTTTAAGAAAACTATTGATCCTGATTGAATTATTACTGGAAAGCCCACATAATGAAAAGACGCAATAATAAAGGGTTCAAGTAATGTATAACACGAAGACGGTCACAATAAACTGAAACCATATGACTTTTGCATACATGGTGCTATTAGGATACTGAGACTTGAAGTGTCACAAAGTAACAACAATCTTTGCAGTCATCGCCATGTATTATCTTGAAACACTGGAGATGCTTAGCATTGCTACACAAATTCTTCGTTATGTTAAAGGAACGGAAATCTCAACACATTCGACCTTTACTCCAACCGTTTTTCCGGTACAATGATAGAAATAATAAGTCGAATCCTATGGAAGTTGCATTTCCGGAAAAAAAAACGTTTCAATGAATAGAGATCTGGAGGGGACCAACACGACGTCATTGAGTTCAATTTTGTAAAAAAAATTCAGAGATGAAAAGGACAGTCACGAGTATAGTGATGTGAATGATTGAAATTATGTTTCATTCACTTGGTCCAGGCCGAGATTAACAGAATAGCGGTGAATTGAAGCCTTCTAACCATACAAGCAAAAGAGTCCTGAGATACCAAATGGTAAACACGATTTAATTTACTTTCTGTGGGAATAAGTTGGTGGACACAATTTTGCAAAGATTGTAGATCAACATGATGTTGACGCTTGTTGCGAAATGTACGGCTTAATGTAGGACTTAATGCAATTCAAGAGTTAGCAATATTACTAAAGACTAACCTCCGCACTGCGATGGATGTACAAGGAACAGGAGACTACTAGAACTTCTTGACGAAGTTGTTTATGTGTACTTTTACTTTATTCTTGTACAACTGTAAAGTAGGTATTACGAGTGTATTTTAATATTGAGTTTTTTTGTTGAAAGAATTATGATAAAATAAAAAATAAAAATATGCGTCTGTGTGAGCAATTAATTATATCCTTTATAAAATCAAGACATGCAATAAATTCAATATCAAAAGAAACAAAATTGATGTTATTATCTGATCTTTTTATTGCAATTGAAACAATTTGTCCGTTATGGAAATGGTAAATCCAGTCAATGGTAAATTCAGCCATTGTCCAAAAATCTTAAACAGCATTGACGTCACAGTAGTATTACAAAAATGTTATACAATGTATACAATATGGCTATTTTCGCGATGATAATAAAACAAAAATTCAACTTATTTTGTTTTAACATAGATCTGTAATTATCTTTCTTTGTCATCAATACAAAATAGTAATACACTTTTTTTAAAGCCCAGGAAAGCTATTATGAGCTGCTGATTTTGGAGCACTCGTCCTTCAATCTCTCGTTTTTTGTGTGGTCTTTTTTAAAATTTAACCTATAGCTCTTCAGCGCTTCTTATGTAAAATTCTTCCAAGTATAATTTCCAATAACCGTAAATTATACCATACCCAGACTATGGTATAATTTTCAGTTTTGAAGATCGAAGGAGTAAGTGTTTCTGGGCGGAGCTATAGGTTAAAACAGATACACAATTGGTGCGTTGACGATTTCTGGGTTTGCGTAAATTATACCATAATCACATGACCTTTCTTATGCAACCTCACTCGATTTCGTCTCGTGAGGTTAAGGCATAAGAAAGGTCACCTGATTATGGTATAATTTACGCAAACCCAGATATCGTCAACGCAGCAATGGTATATCTATTACATCAATAGTACTGCGATGAAACACACCTATAGATTTAAAGTATCTTTGAAGATTTGATTTGATATATCTTCATTTGGCATTACAAATTTGTTCTTGCATCTCTTTCTCTCTGTCCGTGCTGTCACTTGTCAAAATTTCCTACGAATTTCATGAAGTCGTCCAACCTGTAATTTATATGTGAAATGCCTCCCAGTACCCAGCTAGTTCTGTAAAAAGGGATAGTAAGTGTAATTTAATGAAAATACACCAAGGCATACATATTTATCAAAAAATTTGATGTTTAAATTGTCAGGTTTTATTTTCATTTTTTTTGTCTTATGTATTATGTCTTATGTATAATGACTTTGTATTATGTCATATGTATAATGACTTTTGTATTATGTCTTATGTATAATCACTTTTGTATCATGTCTTATGTATAATGACTTTTGTATTATGTCTTATGTATAATGACTTTGACAATTATATATTTGAAATTAAAATTAAAAATAAATATGTTTTTCCCCTCAGTATCAGTATTTCATATATTCACATATACTGTTGAACTATCAAGAATTTATTTGATAAAATATCCTCATTCGGCACTTGTCTGATAAATCATAAACCGATTTCTTGTATTTTCCTTTATAAAGAGAGTCACAGGTAGAAGATGAATGTCCAATATGTTTACCATCAATGGATCTCCATAAGTTAATATTTTTCAATGTTTTCTGAGTCTTCTTCTTCTTAGTGGGCTGCTATGTTCTGAACTAGTGCCTGAATACGTTTACTACTCGCATTGTTTACTACTCCCATTTACCTGAAGGAGAAATAATTTATATTTTATACAGAAAAAAGTTTCACACATGTTTTAAAAATGTGTCAGTCTTGCAAATATCTTGATACTTAAACTTTAACAGTTAACACGATTGTTGTGCCCTGTGACCTACTTTTTCATCTGAGATGACCCATATTCGAAACCTAACCTTGTATGGGAGATAATTATTCAAGTTAGGAGAAATACAGTACTGTCATACTTTTTAAATATCAACACTTACCTAATTGTCTTCTGTTTCACTATCAGATTTACCTCCAACGTCCATGATGGGTGCATGTGATGAAACTTGCCCTTTTGCCGCTTTTTTGTCAAGTCATAAATCATAAGACAAAAGTCTTAATACACAAGTCATTAGTCATAAGACAAAACTCCTAAGACAAAATGACACTTATGGGCTTCCGTACAAACCCGCATATTTGCTAGCTTAAACGATCTGATCTTTACATGTAGATATAGTTTATACTCCCAGCAACAGGTTTATAAATGAAACTGTACATTGAAACCAGATACGCTTCAGTGTATCGCTGACTCGTTGTAAAAAAAACTATCTACAGTGAAACTGTATGATTATTTTGACAATTATAAACAGCAAAAGTTATTTATCATACGTTCTTTAATTTATCTGACAAAAGACAGCAACATATAGAAACGAAAGAAAATCGTTTAAACAAACTAACCTTCATTTTATGCATTAATTCCTTGTTCAATTACATCTTCGCATTTTCAAAATTATTTTGTCCTTTTGTTGACATTAAGTCACGTGATTGACAACTTGTAATACCCGTATTATCTATCTGACTGAATATTTAGCAAGTTTAAACGCGAACAAACAGATAAAGCCAAACACATTTAGAAGTGTATTCAAGTTTTAAAAATCGTTTAAATGGCAATCGATATTTGAAATATAATAGAAGTCTCTGTCGATATGTATGGAGCGCCATTCAAATATTGGAAAATGTATACAAATTCAGATATTTAAGGTCTCCGAATATTTAAAGTGTACACAATTTGTTATAGATTAGTCACACAGGCCCATTATTCGTATTTCTCAAACCTTTAAAAATGTTTTGTCATTATACAGGGTGCTCATAATATCTGCCCATATTTCAAACAGCAATAGCTTTCACATGTATCGGAATATTTCAAATTTAATAATGACAAATCATTGAATATGGAATTACTTTAATTTTGATAAATAACACATGAGCCATTCTCATAAGATAATTATTTACCATTACAAGAACAACAAATCAAGTTTTACAACAGATGCTCAATATGACGTCCACTCTGAGAAATAATTACGTCAACACGTTGTCTAAAATTTCTGATTACATTATTGCATATTTCTTGGGTAACTTTCTTCATTTCACGTTTGATAGCGATTTTGAGCTCATTAGTTATCTTAGGAGGAGGTGTGTACACTCGTTCCTTCAAATACCCCTAAAGAAAAAGGTCAAGTGGGTTGAGGATGGGGGAAGGCAGTGGCGACTCGTTGTCCTTGCGGTACGAAATATCTTTTTCAAAATAGTCAAATACCGGTCTTTATTAATTGTAGCAACATTGCCGTAGTCTTCAAAAAAGAATAGACCGATCACTCATTCAACGCTAAGAGCAGCCCATACTGTGACCCTCTCGCCATGAAGCGGCTTTTCAATGTAATACTCTGGCTTTGTAGTTCCCCAATACCTGCAGTTCTGCTTATTGACTTCAACATTAAGAGAGTAGAAAACAAAACTTTGTCATTAATGTCATTGTGATATTTATCCAGTGTGCAAACGAAAGTCTTCTCGAAATGTCATTGTCTTTCAGATGTTGCATGATGGAAACTTTGTATGGTGTAAGTTTTAAGTCAAATTTCAGTATTCTGTATTCACACGTTGAGCTTGTTGAGTTTGTAATATCCCCGAGAACACGTCTAACGGATCTTTGAGGCGTTTCATTGATGACAGCTTGCACTTGCTCAACATTTGCGTCAGATCGTGCGGATCTTGGTATGCCGGGGTTGCAGTGCCGCCTATCTTCAATCAACCCGGACTTTTTAAAACGTTTTAAGATTTGCTGTATTGTCTTTTCATTGAGTTTCCCAAGATCTGGATGTGATCTTTTCATCTTTAACTTTACTGTCTTTAATGATTTTGTTTGAAATGCCGAAATTGTGGAGAAAAGTATCCTCATTTGTCACGTTGCCCTGCTATCGGAGAGATTGTAATTACTGTCATAAGAAGAATGTAAAAAACGTCACAAAAGGTGAAATTAATCGATGATGAACATTCGGATTCGCAAGTTTTATCAGAGGCATACACGGTGGATAACAGTTCGAATGAGTGCGATGTGTTATTTGGATTTTAGATCTCAGATGGAAAAAGTGCCAAAAAGCATTAAATTTAAATGGCGTAGATGTTAATGTGTTGATAGATAATGGTTCATCGTTGAATATTATTAGCGAAATCGACCTCGAGAATATGACAATTTGTCCAGAACGAAAAAAAAGCATTTGCCATTGGGGCAAAAATCTCCACTTTCATTCATAGGCAAATGTTACCTGCTTGTGGAGTCGGACTCAACAATTTTGACTTTAGCACTTGGGATTTCAGAAAAAAGATCTGCTAAGGTTTTACTTTACTAATATAATGAACTTGTGTAGTTCTTGGGCTAGGCCAGTTTTGACCCTTGAGATATAATCGATGTAATTAACCATATAACAACGTTTTTTTTGTACTCTTACACATAAAGATTTTTTTGCCATTTTGGCTCAGACCGGACCCATTTGAGCAGTTTTGTCAAGGGGTCACCCAAGGATAATTTTTGTGTGGTTTGGTTGTTAATGTTCAGAGGAGTTTTTGTTTCAAAGATGATGACGACGCACGATGGATGGCGGCGGACCATGATAAGCACGTGGTGCAAAAAAGACAAGAATAAAGATCAACAAGGTAAAGGCAACGTTCAAAGGACGCAGCCCCTGACACACCAAGGTATGGCACCCAGAAGGCAAAAAACCAAAACCTGGAGCTGACATTAGGGCGATGAAAAGAGAGGAACATGTAATGTGTGAAATAATATTACCTAAAACGGGCACATTAGAGGGATAAGGGTTGCAAGGGTGAAAAGGGGAAAGGTTTAAAATTGGAGAGGGTGTGAGAAAAAACCTACCGTAAACGACAATCCAACAAGGCAGACATTACAAAACATGTAAACATTCAAAAACAAATAACAACACAGACAGGAAAACACGTGTTTCATTAAGTTTAATTTTCGACACCTTTAAAATGTAACACAAAAACACGAAAATTATTGTTGTTGGGCACTGATAATTGCGTCAGTTACCGACGGTATAGAAGTTTATCAATAAAAGGAAAGTTTGCATGTTCCGTGAAACGCGTTTTAAATTCTATTGTCAGTCCCTGGGTAGGTTTTAATTAAGGCTAATTAATTGATTGAGCTTTTATGTTCGATATTTATCTACTGTATTTGAAAAATATACAATTATTTTTGCTTTTCACCGTTTTTTTTTTCAATGTTCAATTTATTCCACTCCAATCATTATTTTTTGACCAAAAACAACAAATTATAATCATGAGGCACAAAATAACATATGCATGTTCGGCTTCAATATAATTTTGAAAAGTGCCGTACGGCTAGACAAAACAGTGAGTCCTGGCTAGTCGTACGTGACTCACGTACGGCTAGAACTTTTGGCTAGTACGGCTAGCCACTTCCTTTAATAAACCGTTTGATAATTTTAGTGAAGACGGCAGAAAAATTACTATGACCAATGATCTTACGAAGTTTGTAAACCACATCTCCATAGAAATCAGGTTTGCTAATACCTTGTCGTAAAAGAGTTTTCAAATAACAATTAAATTTTAAAACTAAATCTGAATTACGATGGTAAAACTTAGTAAAATATTTATATATAAATTTAACACAATAAGTCAATAACATAACACATAAAATATATAATGTTGTCAACATGAACTACTATTGAACAGTTGTATTTGAATGTATACTAAATACAAACATTATAAGAACAAAAAATGTCATTTTTAAAATCTTTTAAAATTGTTTGTTTGTAGTTGAAGATCCCAAACAAGCAAGTATAAACAGCGTGAAGCAACCTTCAACTACAAAAAAGAGGTATTTACAAATTTTTATTAATGTGGTTTTAGCATAAGTACATGGACAGCTGTCCTAATCACTTGATTAGTTCAGATTTGTGAATAAATTTTTTGTGCAGACAGTTTAATTTTCTTGAGTAATTTACATATAATTATTATGTTATTAGAATCAATATTTCCAGAATTATCTTCCTAATTCCTTGTTTAAAAAGGAGTGAATCGCGTATGTGTAGGAATACGTTGAGTGTGAGATAAGCCCATGTGAGATAAGATTTTCCAACACCGCTATTTTTAGTAACATTTACGGATTTTTCTATCTGGTTAGTGAGAATATGGCGTATTTTTGTGTTTTCGTCCCGTGGTCCGAAAGTACAACAAAGTACTGATTATTTCTAACACACAATCAGGAAAGTATTACAATGACACATCAATATCAAAAGTTTTTAATACGTTCAAAACACTCAGAGTACATGTTATTTCTGGAAATTTTGAATGTTATAGTTTATTAAGAATTCCTAGTACTTTCCCAGCAGACACATGACGTTAAAATAACGTCGGATTAATGTTAGATTTTGGTCACGACGTCGGCGACCAAAATACGACGTAAATCTGACGTTAAAATACCGATGTCTAATAGACGTTTCTTTTTGACGTCGAACTAACATCAGGTTCTGGTCGGTGTCCTGACGGTAGGTAAAAAAATAACAGAAAATAATCCTTATTCGCTGTTGTAATCATTCAAACTTTTTTTCAAATGTTATTTGGATTACAAATGAAATGTTCTTATATAAATACAGACCAAGATCGCGGCGCTGCAACCTAATAAAACATATAGGTGGCGCTGTATATAGGCAAGTTACATGTGTTATTGTAATGAAATCTATTTATAGCCACAGATCTGTTTACAGGTTCCAATCAATTAACGTTATAATATTATCATTTGTGGTACATTATATGTATCAAAATCACGAGTTTTTTTAATAGTGCTTTAACATTTAATCATAGTGACAGAAAAGGGAAAGAAAACGTAATTAACCTATAATTCGAATCTAAAGTCACGTGGATGGAAATTCAAATTCGTAGGCGTTACGTTTTTGGCTGTCAGGCAGGAATCGGGATGCACTGATAAAGTTGATATTATAGATTTTCTTGAACAAAAAGGTCAGTTCAATTTATTTAGATTTATTTCTACTTTGTATTAGATAAATAATTGCATGATTGCAAGCACTCTTAAATTTAATTATCATTATTTGAACAGCTGAAGTAAAATGTCACACAAATTCGCGATAATGTCTAATAATAAATCTTTTTAAAATTGACATGTTTTAACTCTGCTTGTAAAGAGTTTATAATATGCCTTTCAGTACTACCAAAGAGAATGCTTAGTTTTCATATTTTTCTTAAACTTTGATGTTTTTGTCAGTTAAAATCTGAGAATTGAGAATGAATTTGTACGATTTCGAGCATTTCGGACCAACACGTTTCTGTCCCAAATAGCCCAAAACGTTCCGGTCCCAAATAACCCAAGACGTTTTGGTTCCAGACATTTCGGCATTTAATCTTTAATTTAAAACTATGAAATATTTAAGACTTGCGTAACTGTTCTATTTCATAAACTGTATACATAAGTTAGAATATAATTTTCTTTTCAGGTAGTTTAAGTGTTGGACATGCTCTCAAAGGTCGGAGGGACGGAAACACGTGAATATGTAAAAAGAAACACATGACAGTAAGATTTTTGTAAATTCTATAACATACTTTAATCCATACTAAACTGGAGTTTAAAAGCGGCTTTTTAAATGTTCAGTATTTATGTTTACTTTTAATTTTTGTTAAAGCTCTCATAAAAAGTTGGCAAAATTGTTCATTAAGTTAAGATAACCATGAAAACATTTTTGCTTGTTATTTTTACATGTTTCATAAATTTCTTTTTTTTTCAGTGAAAATGATGTCACACACGCTATTGGACGCTACAAACGCTACATATCCTCCGGACAGACGAGGGGTGCTGAAAGAAGGTCATATCTTAAAGCATCACACCTCAAAATTCGTGCTATGGATATCTAAAAGTATAACTTTGTGAAGTAACTAAAAGGCAGCAATTTATACATTACTGACAATTAACAAAGGAGGTCAAAATATGCAAAATGGCACTAAATGCTTTAGAAATGCTGTAGAAATATAGTTAAAATACTGAAAATTTGTCATTAATTGCTTGAAACATTATTATCAGTGAGAATCTTTTTCACTTTTCTTAAAATTATAATATTTTCATTATTTTATTTGATAAGGCAAACTTTGATAGAAATGTGCATACATTGTTTTGTTCTTTAATATTTGTACATATTTTCTTAGTTTCATTTATGTCATTGTTTTTGTAATCCCTTTTTGTTTTGTAATTAACTTATTTTATGTTTTATTTTGTTTAATTTATGAAAATTATTTAACCTTGCAGAATTTACTAAAATTGTATGTATCAGCTTAAAATTGCAACTTTCATTTTAAATTAAAAAAGCATAAAACATATTTTGCTTTTAGTTTTCTGTTATACATTTCATTGGAGGGAAAGTTACTTAATATAATGAGTTACATTAAATTCGATCAAATCAGGATTAGCCAGAAAATATTTATGAGGTGGTGAAACAAAAAAGATTAGGGGAATGATCAGATGAAGGTCAGAAAATGACCAGATTTAGGGCAGAAAAGGGTTAATATTTAGGTCGGAAAATGGTCAGATTGAGGTCGGAAAATGGTTAGTAACTGGTTAGATTTAGGTCGGCAAATGGTCAGATTGAGGTCGGAAAATGGTTAGATAATGGTCAGATTTTGGTCAGAAGAAGGTTAAATAATGGTTAGATTCTGACGTCTACCTGACGTCAGATTATTACGTCAAAAAAACTTTCAAATCCAACCGTTTTACCGACCGTCATCCGACGTCAGAACCTGACTTAAATCTGACGTCAGTATGACGTCTTGTGTTTGCTGGGTTCGGTTTGCCTACACCTCTTTCTTTGTAGACATTAGTTCACTTCATTGTTTGCTAATCTTTTCTGGTCATTGATTCCCGTTCGTGCCTGAAATAATGAACGAAAGAGCACATGAGGTCTTTCTCCACAAGTAATGCTTGAATGTCGCCATATGACTGTGTTTCTGTAATTTAAAACCCAATTACAGTCCGACCCCGGTTATTCGACAACCCATTATTCGAATACCCGGCATTATCCGAAGTTGATCTACGGTCCCGTTTTCATCTCTATATAAACTAATATAAATACCAACGTATTATTCGAAATGCATTATCCGAATACCTCCTATTTTTCGAAGCAAAATTTCGGTCCCGATTATATCATTATATAAGAATTTCACACCTATTATTCGAAGCCAGACTAATTGGCACTGATTGACTCGCTGACCGTCCCGACTTGTGAAAAACTTTGCGAACAACGGTGCGTGTATTTAGTTAATCGTGATAATAACGATTTGCGTGTATATTTTCAACTTTAATTACCGAACATAAATTGTACGCTTTTAATTGGACGGTTAAAAGTGTTCAAAATAATTATTTCAATTAATGAATGAAACTAAACAAATGAAAATAAACTGTGATATTAATTGGACGGTTAAATCTGTTCAAATTAAGATTTTAATTACAGAATGGATTGAAAAAATAAACAAATAAAAACAGACAACTAGCGAGCTGTGTCATGTTTTCCTTTATAAATGTGAATTCCCAGTTTCTATTTCAAATCAGTGCAATATGTCTACGTTAGCACAAGATAATTTGGCTGAGCAATCTTGAATGTTTAATATTACCGAAATGTGTCTGTGAAAATTACATTTAGAAGTGAAAAATAATATGACTTTTCAAGTTGCTTGTTTATATTTTGACGAAGATAAAATATTTATATTACTTGTATAATGTTGAATACATTTGTAATGCATGTACATGTACATCTATGATTTAAAACCTGCGCCGTATCCGTCATACGGAAGATGACAGCGATATTTTTAATGTTCATGCATGTTTATATTAACCTATACGCTATATATGTGCTACAGAATCTGGAAATAAAATGCAAGTAGTTATGTTTAAGTTAACAATAAAAATATTTTAAACATTTATCATTGTCTATTTGTTTTTCTCGATTGATTACCGGTAACAGATGAGTTGTAAACATTTAATTTCGCTAGAATTTGCGATACGGTCAAGCGGTGTAGTTTTCGTCTATCACTATGTTCGGATTTGGATTATTCGAACCCATCGATTTTTCGAAGTAAATTTTCAGTCCCGGGAACGTCGAATAATCGAGGTTGGACTGTAATCTAACAAACTTGCTCATTGTTTCAGCTCAGTTATATTAAAGAATGAATCATAAGCTGGTACTAGGAGGCACTTTTACACTGTAACCCATGAACACACTCAGTCGAACAAAGTCTGCAATTTTCATATAAAATTGCTGTTCTACTACTTCCGAACGATCATTATTATACAAGGTTCTTGTCAACATTTAAACCAATAAAAATAATATGTTTTTTTTTTCAATGAGTAAAGATCTGAAGGCATAAGGTTTGAAACAAATCAAAATAAAACTAACCAGTTCAGGACATCATTGAATAAGGGAATAAGGATTTTTTTTCTCGTTTACTCAGCTCTCATTTTAACGCAAAATTGACATATTTTTCAGACGAAGTCGATGTTTTATTTTATTACGGTTTGTTTATTTACATGATTGGCAAACGCCTCAAACATGCTATGCTAATAGGTAATGTCAACGATAGTATCTTTATATTTGTCTGACATTTGACACAGTTGATCTCCTTTTTAAAGATACTCCACTGAAGATTTTTTGCATGAGAGGACTTGCAGTATTTCCTTCGATTTTTATCTACGTCTTGATGTAATTTCATACCCATTACTCCAGTGCATTATTTGAGATTTCACTAGCAACACTTAGAATAATCATTTTCATTGGGCAAGAAGCTTTTCAGGCACAATATATCATTATCGGACTCAAAATCGCTCTAAATATCGATTTTCTTTTAAATTCTGAATGTATGTCTTTAACATTATTTCAGTTTTTTTAAGGCTTGGGATGCTTTCATTGCATGCCATCTTTCTTTGTTGATCTTTGTTTTCATGTTATGAGTAGCTCCTTTAATTTGTTCTATATTTTTATCATGTGATCATGTAAATTGGTTGGAATTTTGAGATCGACTCTTATTTAATTTTTTGTCGATACTCTGTTTGAATAAATTATTATTTTGTATCAAGTTTGTTTATGGTATAGTGTTCAAATGTACATGAAAGATAAAACAATATACCAGCACCTGGATAACACAGAAAGAGGATTCATCCTTTCTAGTTCCAATATTGTCCTTATAGAATATCGAAGATTTAAAGCACATACTAAAATATATTAAATGTCTTGGTGGTGAAATAATTATAGAACATCACAGATAATGCATATATTGAAAATGACAAGACTAAGAAATTTTTATTGAATATCACTGTTATGCACATATCCAGCCAGACAACTGAACGTCGGCAGTTCTACCCAGGTGCCGTACGAGCCTGTAATTTACAGAGCCGTACCTGTGGTTTTCCTCCACCAATTAAGAAGGTATCGCTTTATGACATTTACTTTAAGTCCAAACCAAATACATGCAATCAGTGACAAACTAACGTTCGAGACTTAAAATAATTTAGACAAATGGAAAGCATAAAAATATACACACTATACCAAAATAGAAAAAAAATCGATAAAGCAAGCCCAGCACGGCAAAATTGACAATGTTGCAAGCTCATTTGATAAAGTTTGTTCATGGACGGTATTGGAAAGTACTAGTTACCGGCTACGCCCCCCCCCCCCCCCTAGCAACGGGTTATGCAGAATCAAAGTCTTGATAAAAAGTATTATAAAAACTTGACTTAGACTGCAATCCTAAATTTATGGGGCTGTGAAAAACAGGGTATTGAAGATGATTACTCGTTTACAACACAAACAAGGGATATTCTAAGAAACGTCTGACCTGTTAGACTGTAAAATACCCTTTTTCACTATACAAAAGGTTGTAACTGTGGATATCCTTATTGGGAATAAAATGCTTAACAACACAATTCTAAAGACTTGTGGCAAATTAATTTGATCAACACGTTTGGAAACAGGTAACCAAACCAACAAACCAAAGACAACGTTTGAAAATAGAAGAGGTCCTAAGACCGGCCTATGAGGAACACTTAAGGAAATTTTAGTAAAAGGAAACAGGATTAAACCACCAATAAGTTCTTGCATGTCGTTCTGAAAGGTAGTACTTGTACCACCGGCGCTAGCAAGTTCATTTTCTTTATAAGTATAATATGGTCTAATGTCTTTTAAAGATCCAAAAGTAATATAACGAGAAAATTATGTTTCATTCATTTTAAACATAACAAAATCTGGGAAATGAACAAAAGAAAATTAGATTAAATCCTTAAGAACGCCCACAACGACAAAATTGAAAATGTTGCAGGCTCGACTTGATTGATCTATTAATGAACAAGCAAGACACCTTTCACGTCTGCTAGCACCGGCCCAAGTAGAATTCACATTTTGCATGAACTGGGAAAATGTTGAACATCCGCAGATGTGTTAAGATGAGGTTACTATAAGTTCTCTACAAATTTTGATAAATTGCAACATTTACGCAAAAAGTTTTTCAGCAACATTAAATCTACCTATCAATTTTGTGACTTACTCTTCAAACACGCGTATATTCATTATTTATTTTAAAATTAAAGGTTGCTAGAAAATGAATGCATAAAAAGCATATTCTATAGACATTAAAAATAGTTCTTTGCGAACTTACATGTAATTTTGAATAATACATGGAAAAGAATAAATGCTCATTCATTTATTGACATTTGTTATAGTTTTTGCATACTTGCTTGAACATTGTTGAACAATTATCCTTTCACACAAATTATGGGTGATTCCTTATTGTTGACATAAAAATAAATCATAAAAACACACCTATGTATAAAAATTTAAACTGCTGTTTAACGTTCATTCATCGCACATCTGTCACGTCCTTTGAATCAATGCAAGGTTTAGGGCCATATGCCCATTCCTTTATATCTGTGATTGTTTTTGCATATTTGCTCTGATTATTCATCCTTTCACATAGGTTGCACATAGCTCTTTGATATACATACAAATACCCAGCTGAGTAATATTGACTTTTCCGCTTTAAATGGGCGGCATACGTTTCAACACTGATATGTTTAAGAAAGTGTGCAAGATCTTGAACGGATTCGAATTCATCGGTGGATACAAATGTTCCCTTGGGAAATATTTGTTTCGTTTCGCCAGGGCTTCCACCACGTACCAACGTAATTAGATCATAATTGAAATTATCGTAAAATTTCTCTGTTATATATTGATGGCAAAACGCATTTTCGAAGGCTAGATAAAACCTATAAGTTGTATTTAAAAGTTTAAAGCAGTCTTCGTCGTGTTTGAGGTTAGTACCACATGTCCACTTTTTCCCACAAAGTCCCAATACTTCAACGTCAACATATTTCTTTAACTTATTTACATATTCCTGACGTTTAGACCTGACATTACAATGAGAAACTATTATTAAGAGAGTTTTGTTTTTCTTTTGTGAAATTGATTCGTAGTCCCTTATTACTTCTGTTTTGTGTTTCAGTATTTCTCCGTATGGCAAATATATGTCAGAATTATCTTTGTCATAAGTCATCGTCCAGTTGAAGGAGTAGTCTTTATTACTATACCACCATGTCCCTGTGTCCTTGTATGAAATAGGAGTTTCGTGAGCTGCGAAAATCCATATCTGGCCATTTGGACGAGTGAAGTCTACTTTCTCTGGCATTCTACGACCATCAAAAATGATAGCCTGACTGATATTTGCATCTGATGTATTTACAGTCATATCACAGTTATTGTATTTGCACTTTTCAAATCCACAATTAAACACATCTGCATGACGTTCTGTAAAGTGTTTAGATGGGTTATACCAGAGAATGCGAAACCTTTCCTTACTTGAAATCATTGGTCCCATCGATGTCAACTGTACTTGAACCTTAAAGAGTAATAACGGAAACCTTTATGAAATGAAATGGCAAATGCGAAGATGCTTTGTCGAAGATAAATAGATAGATTACCTTACCCTTCATGTAGTAAGTTACAGACTACCTCCAAAACATAGAAATGATAAAAAGAAAACACCAAATTTTAAAAATACAAAATTTGTATTTTACCATGTTTGACTCTATATTATAGTGAACTTGTCATTAGCAACCACTTCATTCGAAGGGATCCCTTGGCAAGCGACAGTTCTAGTCTTCTTTTATTGATCTACTTGAATGAAATGGGTTGAAAACCTGAAATCTAGTCTCTTAACATTGGATTTTTACATGACATTGTGAGAAAGATACACCTGGCTTTCGGCACGTCGGTTGCTTTTCTCAGGTGCCTGTTCTTGTCTGAAATAATGCACATAGGGGGACCTAAGGCCTTCATCCACCAGTAAAATAGGAATGTCGCCATATGACTTACATACGGAATACCGTTAGGGCCATCGTGGTTATATTTTATAATCTAGAGGGCGACAATGCGACAGGCCTAAAGTGCGATGCCGACAATAATATAGTGCGGTGACGACAATGCGATAGTGCGACAATGAGATAGTGTAATGGCGACAATGCGATAACATGATGACGACAGTGCGTTAATGCGATTGCAATAATGCGATAGTGCGATAATGATATCGCGTTGTCGCCATCGCAGTATCGTACTGTCCCCATCATGAATCGCACTTTTGTCATCCCGTTAACGCACTATCGTATTGGCGCCACCGCGTTATTGCATTATCGACTTTTGCTTTCCGGTACAAATGCGCACATCGTGTATCTATTTGTGCGGTTCTAAACTGCTGGCGAATAAGCTGACGGTATAGAATATAATTGAGGCACGTCCCCCTCTTGCACCTCAATGTATATTTTCGAAAGGGGTGGCGCCGAAAAAGTGATCAACAATTATCAACGTATACAAGTGTATCGGGATTTAATCAGGTATTTTTTTCACTATTTGAGGCCTCAAAGAAGGTGTGAGAGTGGGGGGTAAATAGCGTCAAAACACGTCTTTACGAGGTAAGTTTACATAGAATAATTTGTTGACCAGTTACACTTACAGTAAAAACCGCTGACCAATTAATAATCTGGAGAAATATGTTATTTTGCCGTGAATTCCTTATGTATATTGTAATATTTGTAAATATAACAGGTTCTACATCTCGCAAACCAATTTGACCACTGTTGAGCAACTAGAATATAAATGGAACTGCTTAGATGGTTTTTAGTGCAATTTCTTTAGCAAATATGCAAAATGTAAAGGCAAGTTTTTCAAACTGTAATGTGAAATAGAGAAAAGTGTATATAATAATACCGCAACCCCAAAAAATATTATTCTTATTCGATAAAAATGAATCGTGTATTTATAAGGAAAAAAAATCTGTCAAAATTTTTAAAGCTTCACACAATTTGTAACATTTTCCGTGTTTTTTTATATAAGTATTTCCCATATCTTTTGATATAAAATGTTACTTTTTATTAATTTATTATTTTATTTAAACAAGTGTTAAGTGTACAAAAAAGATAAAGAAAATATAAAACAAGAAAAAGAATCTATTGACAAATGTGAAATTATTTTTCTATTTTCTATACGGTCAGCTTATTCGTATGAATTTAAGAACCGCCCAATGATATATAGGATGTGCGCATGTGTATTGGAAGACGATAGTCGGCAATAAGATGACGACAATGCGATAATGCGACATTGCGATAACTTGATGACGACAGTGCGACAACGCGATTACGACAATACGACACAGCGATGGCGACAACACGATAGTATTGTCGCACTATCGTATTTTCACCATCGCATTATTGCACTGTCGTCATTGCGTTATCGCACTGTCCTATCGCATTATAGCATTGTCGCCATTGCGTTATCGCACTGTCCCTTCGAATTATAGCATTGTCGCCATCAATTATCGCATTGTCGCATTATTGTACTGTCGTCATCGCATTATCACACAGTCGCCATTGCACTATTGCATTGTCGTATTGTCCTCATCGCACGGTCGCTTTGTCGCCCTCCGGATTATAAAGTAAAACATCGATGGCTCTAACATTATTCCGAACTTATACTGTGATTTGACGTAAAACACAACCGAAAAAAGCTTACCTCATTTGCATTCGATGGTTTTTTCAAAAACCACAATGACAAGAGCACAAACATATGAAGTGAAATGGTTAACTGTAAAATATAAAAGAAATACTGACTAAGAGTCTTTATCTTATCCAAGGATTAAAGCAGTACATATATACACAACACAAACACGAAGTTTGTGTTATATCACATAACTGAGGTCAGATTAAAATTCAAACGTTTCTCTTTTTTGTATTTGTTTTGCTATTTCAAGATTCAATTATGTTAACTATATTGTTTATAACATAATATTCTTGTAAATAGGAATATTTATTATAAAGGATACTTTCAACAAGTTTGTGACTTCATGAGTTAATTTGAATTTATTGTCCCCATATATTGTAAAAAATCCATTAAAAATTTGCTCCTCCAACTTATATTTGTGGATGATCTTGAACTGTAAGTGTTTCTGTGTTAATTTACTGACGGTCACAATATTTAAATACACCTTTTTAAGAAGAACGTTAAACAATATGCGGATCACGCAGCCTACTTGAGTGCAAAAATTCATTACATTTTGTCAAAATTGTGTTTGACTTTAGAATGTATCGGTAGAGTTTATCTTTTAAAAAGAGTTGGGCAGTCTTTTTATAATTTAGATACATGTAGTTTGATATTTTATCCGAAATATTTTCGTTTTAATTTATTAGCCAATCACAATTATAAAAGTCAATATTTTGAAATACGTAACTCAAACTATTTCTTTACTGAATTGTGTAGAAAAAACATGAGGTGTAAAACAATCTACGAATTATATGTTCTATCGAGAATTGGGTAAATAATCAATGAACATTGTTAACGGTTTAATCCGAAGGAAAAAAAATAACTTTAATCGCCAACAGATATTCTGACGCTGATGATTTTGTAAACACAAACAGTTTTTTGGGCCATTTTAAATAGAAAAATGAACCTTTATGATGAGTTTATTAAAAAGAACAATGACGAATTTTTTTTTGTGTGTAATGAGCTTTATTTTTTTTTGTAATGACTGCAGCTGTAAAGTATTGAATACACCTATCACATGTGAAAAGATTAAAAAAGCTGCAAAAACACTTAAGCTTCATAAAGTTGGAGACTCAAATTGTATTAACAAATATTTTTCAAATCATATGCGTCATATTTTTCAATACAATTTAGACTCTATTTAATTCAAAATACATTGAACACATACACTGAAAATTTTGTAAATCATTTAAATGTAAGTGTCACACAAGCAATGTCAGTATCTATGTTGACGTTGGCCGCCTTCCACAGTATCGTTAGAATAGCGAAAAAAAATGGTGCAAATTGATAAATAATGACAATACAATGTTACGGAAAATATATAAACTATGTATTTCTTATTGTTGCAAAAGCAATGTTATTTTGTTAAAGAAAAACTGGATATATATATGATTTATCTTAATAATATTTTGAAAATATTTTAGTAGATTGTATCTTATTTCAAAAACTATTCAAACAAAATTGTGATAATTTTACACAACTGTTACACTCATCTATAGCAAAATCAGTTGTGTTTCAGAAATTTATGAAAATTGTTAAGAATTATATACATACGAGACTATTTTAATATAGTACCTTTCATTTATCACAATAATTAGAATAGCTGAACATACACTTAGAGTCCATGAAGGCAGATTTGAGCAAAATAGAACTCAACGCGGTAAAATCTTTTAGACTAATTCCATCTGGGCTTAATATTCATTTGGTATGTTGACAATGTTAAGGAAAGGAAAAAAATACTATAAATTATAAATATTAAAAGATATTATTATAATCGACCTTCTCTGTGAAAAATTACTGAACTAATTTTTCCTGACAAAAATTAATCTAGCTTAATTTTTGAAAGAATCTATTAAATCAGTAACATATTATCAGTACTTACAATAATTATTTTATTTTGATATTTTGTTACAAATATTTACCAAATATTCAAGAGAAACTCATAGCCTATTTTGAGACAGACACAGTGCTTTAAAACTTTCTTTTAAATTGTTTAACACACGTAGAAGCGTACATTGGATAATAGAACCATTCAAATCTCTGACAAATTTAAAGCAAACATATGTTTAAATGACAAAGACTCTATTAAGTAGCAATTGTGAACACATATCTGCAATCTTTAAATACTGTAGAAAACATGACTGAACAGCTACAGGATGTTTTTTTTCAAATCGGCAGAACTTTCTTTACAAAAACGAAATAAAACTTAAATTCAAAATAATAATGAAAAAAACAAAACAAAAAAAACATGGTTCGGACCAAAATGTCATAAGGTCCGAAGAGACAACCATGACGCTAAAACAAATTATCTTAATCATAGAAATAATGAAAATAAAACAAGATTACAAATTGCCAGTTAACAGTTTGAAAATACTTTGAATTATTATATAAACGAAAATAAAAAAAAATACACAAAAAAAAAACAAAACAAAAAACCCTTAGAAATATGAGCACCAAGAACTCAAAACAATATCGGAGATATTTAAACGGTCTTAAACATAACTCGAAAGAGCATGAGTCACCAACCGTGCTATAAAAAGCTCGGATCCTGATAAAATTGAATTCAACCGGAGCGAATATGTAAGCAATTGTAACGCGTACTACTTTTTTAAATTAGGAAATTTGCGCAAACGCAATTTTAAAATATATTTAAAATCTTAATAAGGCAGCACACCACACTATATGAAGCCGCAGCTTCGAATGGCCAGGGAGGATTTCACGGATATAGTGACTATTGTGGATTTAAATGACTGGTTGTCTATAAAATGCATTTTCAGCATGAAATTTGTTTTTGTGACATGTAATATGATTATTGGCAAATTCGAAATCATGGTTAGAAATCACATGCTGATAATTTTTGATGTCAAGGTCGCCATTGTTTGTAAACATTGCTTAAAAACAGCATGCTCGGTGAAAACAAGTAATTTTACAGGGGGGTACAAACTTTCAGCAATAGCAAAAAATCTACAAGGCCAAGCACCTGTTTCTTTGTGATATGTTGCATGCATAGGGAGTTGCTAAAGCAGTGACAGAGTTTTTGTAGACCGTATATTTGCAGGTATTTTTTGCCGGAGGGACAAAAAATGTTGTTTTGGTCTCGGACCACTATAGATTTTTGGCTTTTACGGAATGAATTGGATTTTTTTTAACTGCCTGACTGTTGCACATGGGATGATTTCATTACAGATTTGCAATGGTATGACATATATGTTCTTAACAAAATGTGTTTTCTTTTTCCAGGTTGTGTAGTTTGGGATCAGATTTATCGGACATATTGCTTGTAGGACATTGACGGCAGAAACTTGAAATTTAGTGTGGAGTGCTACCTAATGAAAAGGCAGCAAGACTTCCGATAATATTTCAAACGAGTATAAAAAAATATATACTCAAAACCTTTAATTGCCTATTTACACACAATTTTTCAATGTAATTTTAGATACTGGTTTTATCCCAAACTCCTGGTTAGAAGGATAAATTATACAAATATATCAACATTAGGGCGATTCGAAGAAACCGGAATGCTATCGCCTAAATTAATTTTAAGTACACGTTGAATATTATTAACTTCTGTATTTAAGAATGGAACAGATTTATATTAAAAATCAAATAACTTTCTTACTAAAAACCAGGCTGGCTTTAGAAAATACTACAGCTGCTCAGACCATATTTTCACGTTACATGATTTCATAGAAATTCTAGAGAAAAAAAAACAACAGAAATTATTCTGTAATTGTTTTTTTCTGCTGCATTAAGATTGAAAATAAAATTTCACCCTGTCTGACGCCTGTATTTGATGAGAAAAAAAAAATCAGAAAATTCTCCTAAACGCGTTATTCATGATTTTATATTTTGATACATATTTAAAATTACAATAAATATGTTTCCCATTTATTCCCGTTTTGATTGGGTTTTACCGTAAACCTACTTTCAATAATTAAACAAAATTTTGTAGCCATTGGACCCGAACTGAAATCACTGAAGTGTAAAAACGTGTTTTTGTTTCAGCATCCGTTTTCGATGGTCGTCTCCGGGCCTAGCGGTAGCGAAAAAACTGAATGGACTGAAATATTGCTTTTATCCGATATAGTAAGTCCGCCACCGGAGCGCATCATATGGTGTTACGGGCAATGGCAGATTCTGTATGACGAACTTCAGCGTAGAATACCCGTGATAGAATTTGTACATGGCATTCCCGACTACTTGAATAGTCCAGAGTATATTGACGCGCGTAAAAGGAACTTGATCGTTTTTGACGATTTGATGACAGAGGTCAAATGCGACCAGAGAATCGCCGATCTTTTTTCCAAAGGAACATATCTATCATGTATCTGACTCAAAATTTATTTCATCTAGGAAAAGCCTGCAGAGATATTGCGTTGAATACGCAGTACCTAGTATTGTTCAATAACCTTATTGACAGACAGCAGGTGGCTACGTTAGCGAGAAGAATATATCCTTCCTCCTATAACATCTTTATGAAACACTTCGAACGAGCGACATCGAGACCGCACGGTTATTTAGTGGTAGACTTGAAATCCTCTACTTCAGAACATGACCGTTTGTGCGAAAACATCTTTGAAAGTCAAGCTTGGAAAAGACAGCCTGCGGATGATTACGAAAATGAGTTTAGTGGAGAAGGAAACTTTTCTGACAATACTTTAAATGATGATGTTGATGATGATTAGGAGGAGGAGGAAGATGAGTCAGAAGATGACAATATTGGAATGAAAAGAAAGTCTTTCTTTACGGGACCTCCTGGTAAGCGCATAAAAGAGGAACAAAAAGAAGAACGTGCACGTCATGATGTATGGGATCGAAGATTTCAGAAGCCCCTCAGACAGGCTAATTCGGAACAATTTAAGGAACGACTCTTTCGATGATGCTCTTTCTCGCACTGCAAATGATGTGTTGCCGCATTTGAGGAAAATATTGAGACAAAATTATGCACAATTTCTCATTGACTTTTACGTATTGCAAAGGACCCTACTCAACAGCAAATTTTCCAGTCCGCGAGGAAACTTAGACATCAACACGATATGAGTTTT